TTTCTTTGCTGTTTCCATAATCTATATATCTGAAACTGTGCATAATACTCAATTGTCTCCCTTATTGTATCAAGAAATAGCTGAAGTTGTAACACATTCTCCAGAAAAGCTTGATTAAAGCTTTCCATGAGCTCAAAATTTATCACTATCCCTCTCTCTCTCTCGCTCACAAACTCTCTCATAAATTGGATAGAATGTGAATGAAAATTCGAAAGTTATCAGAAAAATCGGGACAATAAGGGGGTAACACCTTTTGCAATAATAATAAGACAGCAATCTCTTCTTTCTTTATAAGTGACCGGCTTTGGTATAAAGTACACAATATATTCATATTATTTCTAGATAAGAAGTTATCTATATAATAAGATAAATGTCTAAGTACTAGATCACCAGTATTAATAAAGTTATAGAATTTACCAGACCTAACTTAAAACTCTATAATATTCATAAACCAAAAAGTTTTCAAAAAGGCTGTTATCTTAATTTAATCTTAAGAGCATAAAAATGTTTCCAAAAAATTTGAAGAAATGTATTAGGATCTTAAAGGATTTTAAAAATACAACAATTTAGCCATAAAAACTGGTGCAGAAAGCAGATAATTATGTCAAGGAAATGAATTGATCGACCAGATCAATGACAAGACTTATTCGAGCTGATCTCCACATAAAGCCCACCGTCGATCAAGTGATCATCTTCTGACAACGCGCTTGAAGCAAATTTGGCTCAAGCGGCTTCTTAATTGGCACGCGGTCTATGGCCATGGAAATATCGTTTAACAGATAAAAAAATGTTCACAGTACAAGAAATTTTTAATAAGCAAAACGACCAAATCTACGCAAAAAATTGCAAAGAAGCTAAAAAAGTTATTCCAAGGCTTTAACGAAGCCACCAACCAGCTACTGTAATGGTTTGGTGGGGAGTCTCCTGTAAAGACGTTATTTTACTTCTGTGAAAAATGGGTCAAAATTGGGGCAACAAAGTACCAGCAGGATGTGTAAGAAGGCGTAATAACGCAGCTAAGCAATACTCTGTTCGATAGAGAGCATTTGATCTTCCAACAAGATACTGGTCCAACACTCAAGGTAAAAATCGCCCATCACTGGCTTAAAAGCAATATTCTTGGTTTCATAGCTACAGATGATTAACCGTCTGGAAGTCCAAATTTTAAACCATTGGACTATGTTTGTGATCAGACTTGAAGAACATAGCCTGTCGAATACTCCATAAAAATTTGGAGAAAATCAAGAAATATTTGGTTCGAGTAGCGTCGTCAATGCCAATGGAAACTGCTTTTGTTCAATGGCCGAAATGTTTGAGGGCTTGTGTGAAAGCAAAAGACAATCATTTAAAAAAACATTGATACAACGCTCATTTAATATATGCTTTATGAAATAGAATTAAGCTTATCAAAAACTAGTTTAATTTTTATATATACTTATATTGAACTTATGGCAGGACTAAGTAATATATAAGTATGTATGTAGTAAATACCTAAGAACGTATGTACATACGCGTATATATATAACAATATTTATAAAATATTTAGCTTTATTAATTTGCCACTGTACATAAATTACACGAGGCACTGTAGGCACAACAAATTATTCGCCTTAATTTTGATTAATCCACTAGCCGCAAACATTTCTGTCAAGCGAAAATGCAGATTCTCATTTGCGCATAAATAAACAGACATTTATTGTATTTGTTAGTGATTTTCTCAAAAGGAAATAAACGAAATAAACAACAATGCACTTGCAACAAAGCGATGTGAGGCAACAAAACGCAATCATTTGCACACTTCAACGGCAACGCGAACGAAACGCCGCTGCCGAAGGTGTCCAGAGGTCGCCATGAAAGCGGATTAAGGCCACAAAAACGTTCATTAGCAGCATTGAGCGGAAGATGCCACATCGGATGCTGCAGTACGCCACTCCGCCAACAACGCTGACGCGTATTGTGCTACTGCTGCTGCTCCGCCACGGCTGCCGCTCAGGTTGCGTCAATAACTCAATGCCAACGCACAAATAATTGTCCAGCGAACAAATTAGCGCGCGGAGTATGCGGCACTGTCGTTCGTTCCTCTGTCGTCCGCTCCTGTCCTTTGCCGTTCTCTACCGTTCCTCTGTCTTCTGCCTTCTATTGTGCGTGCTTATTTTCTTTTTTCGCTTTCCATTTCTGCATTCAATTCAATTAGCGTATGTCATTGCTGCCGTGGCTGCTGCTGCGGGCGCTGATTCATTGATTCACACATCGTCGGTGCGCCGGCAGTGAGTTGCACATGCGCTGACAGTCAAAACTGCGCCTTTTAGTTAATTCACAATTGAACTACTCATATGTGTGTATGTCCGATGTGGCAGACAGGCAGACAAATTTATGTTGCCGCATTGTGTTGCCTGCAAATCAGCACAAATTAATAATACTTATCATTTTAAATGCTAAAAAGCTTTGCATATTTTTTCGCACAAAAAAATCTCTGTTTTGCATTTGCGCTATTTAGCGATGTTTTTGTTAAACTCGTGCCAGTTGCCCGCACCCTGTTTTTACTTCAACTGAGTAATGTTTGGTTTTGAACTTTTTGTGAACTCTGCATACGTTCTTTGACAGTTGAGTACTCTACACTTTATACAGAAAAATCTCAACTTCGAAAACTTGTGTTTATACTTGCATATCTATCAAATTACAGATATTATACCTTAAATATGTACAAAATTTTCATGAAAATATATCTCTTTAGACATAATTTGAACCGCATTCCTAATGAAAAGGATCGTTGGGCACTATGTTGTGCGCAAATCGGCCTAATAGTTTGGCAGAGTAGAGCCCAGTGAACGTTTTGTCTTTCACCAGCATGTAGATAACACCTTGCAAACTCCAAAAAACGAGAAGTATTTTGACTATTTCTTGCTCTCCAGTGAGACGCCAGTGAATGTCCTAAGAATCGCTCCTCAACAGCGCCAAACTTTACTGCGAAGTGATCTTACGGTTGCGCTCGTTGTTCGAAGTGAGGAAACGACGCCCCTATGATGCTGATGACTTTCTCATGCCTAAGACTTTATGTATACACGACCAGGGTTATTTTTTATTTGGCAGACTTTCGCTCTTTTCATCAAAGTTGGAATAGTTTCGAACTCTGACCAAATTATGGCATGTAGGGTATATTTTTGTAGTCACTTATCTGTAGCATAATTGAATTTAACGAAAACACTGATTCGATCAATCGGCCAATGCAAGTAAGTAATTGCCAACACGCTAACGAAGCGCTAGTGACGGCAACGACGACCACAAATCTTCATAACAGCCAGCTCACACAATCAACCGCGCTACATACAGAGATCAGGTGATGAAACGCATGCGCGTATGCAAACAGAAAAAAAGTACACACACTGTGGCCAGCTATACGCTTTACTAAAGACACCGCGCAGAGCTGCCAACCAATCTTCCACGTCTACCCCCTCCCGCACAGAGACTCGTTAGCAATGACTGTGCGGTGAAATTTTTTGAAATCGCCGACTATTTTATTCCAACACCAAAGCCAAAGCTAAGACGCCTGCCTCCGCAACACTTCCACACAGCGGGACACACACAAACACACACACGTATGTACAAGCTGTTCAATGCGCATTTGGCGATCGACAAGCCGGTGCAATAATCAGCGCATTGTTTGGTGTGCGCGCAATTGGGCGCATACTACACAAATCGAGCTGAAAATCGCCGCGCGCATATGTACGTTCACATCTGTCGAACGTTGATTTACGTGCTGAGCGGCGGCTGCTGCTGCTGCCGCTGGTGCTAACTAACTTTGTTGTTGCCGCAAACAAGCGGCAAGTGCGGCATTGCAGAGCACAGTTAATATTGTTGAATTAAGTGTTGGCGCGCCGCACCGCCCAGCGCAACAACAACTCAAGTGCGAACGAAAAAAGGCAAAAGCAAAATGATACCGTATAGGCAAGACGCGCTCGAAGACGCTTGAAAACGAAATAAGGTGTAATTTACTTTATTGTTATAAGTGGGGTTAAGCGCTAATGCAGCGCTCGCAATGATGCGCCGCGTACGTGCCGCGCGGCAATTGGCTTCGCCTGTTTGTTGGCCCCAATTTCGCTTGTCGAATTTGCGGTTTTCGTTTTTGTTTTCGATCATTTTTTTGCACGCGCGCGCTCACTTGCAGAAAGGTGTTATAAAATTTGTTTAACTTAATTTACCAAATTGCTTCATTGACTTGAATGGAAAATTACACATACGCACACACATATATACAATGTAGTATATCAAGTTAATAAGACTTTGAGATATTTTTTCAGCCAAAGCCTGGCTTCAGTTCATAACTCATGGGCTCTTAAACAAAAGGTGATCAAGTCAAGTGCGCGCGGCAATCAAAGTAGTAGGGATAAAACACATTTATTTTTATTGTTGCCATGGGTATATTTATGCTACGTTAATTAATCATGCTTGTGCATTGGTAAATAGTAGCATACACATGCATATCAATAAAAAATATATATTTGAGTTCACACATACTTTCATTTATACTTACTAATGATTTCCCCCCACTAGCTCCATTTGATTTGCAACTCCATAATTACCAAAGACTAATTGAATTTATCGCTGGAAGCATAAAGTCTCATAATTGATTATCACAGCGTAAATTAAGCTGCGCAATCGTAGCGCAAACGAACTGTCGCTGCGCATGCGCACTGCGTCGGTGTCGACGGCGCAGGCAAATTAAAATCATTCAAATTATCGTCTCGTCATTCTCATCATCAGCATGTCAGCCATTCATCGGCACTTCACTTGTAAGTATCAAACTGAAATCTCACCGTTTTCAATAGCTTGAACTTTTTTCAATTATTTTTTGGTTTTCAATAATCCTCGTATTCAATAACATAGCTCTAACTTGGATCATTGGCCTCTACGCCAATCAACACATTAGTTGATTAATTTTTTAAATTTTCAATAATTCGTTCGTTTACATTTTCATTCAAGTTCAGATTAATGAGGAGAAATTCAAGTAAAGCAACAAATAATTATTCACACCTTTTTCATATTTTACATAATTAGATATAACTGGACAGTAGGAATGGGTGATGTGGCAGATTGTTTTGAAAACACTAAGAGGTAGTTCGTATTTGAAGATAGCATTTCAATCACATTGTTCCTTTGTTTCATCTTCAGTTAGCTAAATCAGTAGAAAAGGATTGACCTAGAGGATTGAAAAAAAGATTTTCAAGATTTTTGAAAGCAAATGTTTAAGCCTCCCAGTTAGACCAGCGTCAATAATTTTTGCAAGCAATAAAAAATCATGGAAAAGTGAGTATTTTTTTTTTGCATTTTCTGAGAAAACTTACCACAGTAATTTATACATACATATACATTTTTTATATTACCAGAAAGTAGAGTTTTCAACGAAGAAAAAGCCAAAAGACTTTTTATGAAAAGCAGATATTTTGACGTGAGAATTTTCGATTGGAAATTATGTTGCTTTTCCGATATTAAGTCAAAATAAAGTGAAAAACGAATATTTTAAATCAAAATAATTACAGTGCGTGTGTTTACGCCAAAGTTAAAAAAAAAAATTGTAAAATTTAAAAATGAGAAACTAAAAATTTTACAATATTATTTGAAATTTTTACATAAATTTTAAGATTATGTGAAAAAGTTCGTAACGATAAACTTTTAGATATTTTTATTACCCACAACTTTGCCATGTAACCTTTTTTCCACGGGACCCGAATATCTAGTAAACATAAGGCATGAATGATTTATGATTCAGCTTCATTCAACGATTTGATCTCTTACTATGGAACATATGTCAAATACTCGTACTCATTTTTCAAGACTGGTAAAAACAACAATATTTGGAAAACAGCGGCTACGAAGTAGTGTCTCATCCAAATTATAACCTAGACCTTACCCTTCTGACTACCATTTGTTCCGATACATGCAGAATGCCCTCACTAAAATACGGTTAACATCGCAAGGGGTATATAAATTGGTTTCATGCATCCTTGACCGCATATTGCTAGAAAAATATGAAAATGCTATAGCTTTAGTCGGGCAATACTTTGAATAATACTATTTTATATGTTTTTTTTTTTTACTAAATTACCAAATTTTGAAATAAAAAGTGTTTTTGAAAGTCTACCGTCATTGAGAACTCCTCTATGCTAAGGTTTTGTTTAAAAATATTAATGTTGAAGTTCCATAAATATTTACTATTTATTCCTTGTGATCAGATATGTATATTATTTAGCTGCCTCTGCAGAGTTCACTGATCCTATATTAGTCATGCGGCATGACAAACTCTTTCCCCATAATTATCGCACAATATTTTTTATACAATTACCCTTGCGTCTCACTCCTTCCGAAATTGCTCTGAGGCATATGTAAACACTTCACGACAGCGTGGATCGCGTAGGTGTTGGCGGCGGCAAATCACAGAAAAATAATCTAAAAATAAAAATAAAAATGAAATAAAAAGTTATTTGATTGACGAGATATAATTTTTCATCGTTATCATTGTACAAAGTGACTAAGTGCTTCAACGCCACTCCAACAACAAATGCGTTTGACTGATTTCACCAATTGACTGAAAGACTATTGAGGCAGTTTTATTTCTCGATGATCGCCTACAATAAATCAATCATCACACCATTGATGCAACTCAAAGGAACAATCACACCTAACACACACGCGTGCACACACATACATACGCGAATTATGAGTATTAATGATGTAAGAAGAAGCAAATTCAACGTAACGATTTTTTAACAAAAAAAAAAGTTAATAAAAATTGTGAAAGAAATTGAAAAAAAAATGAAAGCAACAATTGATTTTGATTTTGTATGCCACGAAATGTTGCTGCAGCCTTCGTAATTGTCACGAAGCGGGCGCAGCACGCCGACGATGCCGCTGATGCACTGATCGATGCATGGCGATTGAGCAACCGACCAATCCATACAAACATGTACATACATACATATACTCAAACTGCTCGCCTGGGAATCAACTCTGCCCCCATCATCCACAATCAACAACATACATTCTCATTACCCCTCACCGGTCACATCAGCAATTTGACTAATCTATTGTTGTTGTCCGGGTCTTGGCAGACAGCTTGGAGCCGCGACGCGACGCATCGTCGCGATCGGTTGGCACTTTTCACGCCAGTCACGCTGACGTGACATGATTCTCTTCTCCATTTTTCCCTTCACTCACATATATGTATGTACATATCAGCGATATAAAATATGTAAAAAAGTTGTTCGTTCTCGAAATTCATTTGTTATTGTTTATTTCTTAGCGAAATGTGACTTCTTTGGCATTCATAATGACCAATTAAATTGTCTTTTATATTGCGGCGATCTTAGAATTTCCAAAGCAAGAAGTGACTCTGGAATTTATTGTTGTACTTTTATTTATTGCAGTGAAGCTACTCAAAGGTGGCAATGTTCTCAAATTGGAGTGCTTGAATTGAAATTTAGAAGCTAAGTACCATAGATTAGAAAGTCATGCTTTTCTCAGAGTCTGTATGGGTTTGACGTAGTTGAAGAGTAAAAAGAAAAAAGAGTTTTAAAATGGTTAGAATATTTGGATGTTATAAATTATTTTGATGCATAGACTCGTATGCATGACTTTCAAACACCATTATATTATATATATATTGTATTATCTTTTTCCATGTAATTTATATACGAGTATTAAAGCGCTTTCCATCTATTTTAAGATTAAATTAGTGGTCTAAAACCTCCGTTTAGCTCATTAGTTCCCCAGAAAATTTACGGGAAGAAGGAGAGTACGAACTTGTCGTCATGAAGATGAAATCGCCGCTTAATGCAGTACATTAAATTATGTAAATATAAATTATTTTTATTTATATAAAAAATTTCTTCAAACAAAATTCACAAAAAACGCTTTTTTTCTGACTTGCAAGTGGATATAATCCTTTCAGTTCGGACGTTTAGCCATATTAAACCTATTTGCCTTTCATGGTGTTAGCGTAGTACTAGAAGCATAAAGTTTACACGAACGTCTCATCGATGCTATGACAAACTATTGAGAAATAAATATGTTAAACAATTTCGGTGTTTTTCCTGGTTGATACAGGTTCTAGGTCTAATTATAAAAAGCATTGCAACATTCTGAATTTATCAACATGTTTTGAACACATTCAATATCCAACGCTTAAGCCTCATATAAATTATCTGCAGGTACTTCTATCGAATAATAATTGTTGGATACAAATTTTTTTCCACCTCATTCTTCTGTTTCCCAGAAGCTTAATTTAATGTTATTCGATCGCTTGACGAATCGAAACGAAGTTTGTAATTTGCACCAAACAGATGCTCAGCCCTTTTTATCTACTCTCTAGCGTCAAAACCAAAATTAAATCAAATACTCCGATTTTGAAGTGTAGATAAGTTTGGTGAATTTAAGTTTATAATATTTTAAAACTATTTATTGTTATAGTACTTACAATATACATTCATTTATATATGTATTTGTGTGTTTGCTCGTATTTATGCATTTTCATATCAATTAAATATGCCTCACTATGTGGCAATGTGGCAGGCGTAACACTGCCGGAGTGGAATCGCATTTACATGGAATTTGTGCCAACGCACAATTCAATTCCAATTGTCCATTGTTTGCCATGGCTTGGCAGGCAACATCCGAATGTAAATCCCGTAAAAAATCGCGGTAATAATAAGCGAAATTCATACACACCACACAATAACCGACACGCCAATGGCAATTGTTGCAACAGCAACAGCTGCAGCAAGCACACAATAACGAAAACAACAACAACAGCCAGAACTACTATAGCAAAGTGCGCTGAGGCTGGAATTTATGCAGGTAAAGTGTCAACTATGAAATGGCCAAAAAGCATAGCACAGAACATGAAAGCACACAGCAGAGCATGGGAGCGCATAGAAGCGCATGGACGAGACGGGACTAAACGCATTTAACGCTTCATGGGCTTATGGCCATCACGTCATGAGCAACAATAAATGCGCTGCATCAACAACAGCAACAAAAAGGCACAACAGCAACAACAGCCGTTGGAAACATTTCTAGCCGACTGTTGCACCTATAGTGCGGTGGCCCCCACTCCTGGCCATGGCTGACTATTTAACTTGCATGGAGCTGCTAAACGGCATTTGAATATCATGGCAGCTCATGTGCATCGCGACTGGCCCAATATGCAACAATGGAGCGCAATCATTTTGTTGTCAGTGTAGTTGTTGTCTACAACCAAATCTGCACAAATACCGCGAAAACCCGCTGGCGACAGACAGACAGGAAGTCTCAACACAAGTTTGTAAAGGGCGGGGGCACCGGGTGGTTTCTTTCGAAAATTTTCAACACTCATAAACTAGGATTAATTTAAGTTGAATTAAACGGGAATGTCAAAATATGCAAGCAATCACGAGCAGTAACAGTGACTGAGCAAAGAAAGATGTATGTATTCACTCAAAACTCTTTATTTATGTAGGTTGATATTTAATGCAAACATAACCTCAAAAAAATCAGTCATGTGTTTCTTATTCACTGGACACTATGTTGAGAGATATAAATTTATGTACAAAATGGCAGTTAATATTTCGTCTCTTGGAGTATTTCTAACGTGAAGAAGGTTAGGTTAGGTTATACTGGATCGTCATACAGGATGCCAACAACCGTCCTGCCGATGAGGCCGTTTTCAGGCAGCCACTACATCTACTGCCTCCCTGTTTCTGATGCTGCAATGTGAGATTAATGCCTTAATTGCGGGGTTACTATGGACATATATATGGATCTTCTTCGTCTTGTTTACTGCGTTATTAGTTATATTAGAAGCTTTCCCAACAACAAAGATTTATACCTAGAAGAGTGGCAGCTTAAAGGGTTACCTGAAATCTAGCTCCGCACAATAGATTCCGGCGTGCATCCCATGTTTAATCAGTCTGTGTAGATGTTGCAAGTTCCGCTGTCGGGTAGGTTGAGTAACCTTTCTGGTGCAGCCACTAAAATGATTCTTAACACTCCCATTATGTAGAGAATAGTGAGCCGTTAAATTCACTCCAAGAGTTTTATGTATTATATAAGGTTTTTCTGCAGCAGTCCACCACACCAAAGCACCGTAAAGCAAGATTGACATGACTACCACGGTGTATCACCAATGCTAGAACCTCATATCTTTTTACAATCTGTAGAGGGCACTACTGAAATTTTTACCCTCTCTTCCACATTAAGTTTCTACATTAGTAGCATGTGTAAGAACTAACAAAGAGATAGAGAGAGCATTGATATGGTCCACTTTGAAAACGGTGTAAAGGTGCTGAGATCTTATTTATATAAATAATGCTATGAACCTTTTCACGTTATGTTATGAGGGTCAAACAGGTGCAGGACTCAAATGCTCTTCCTAAAGACATAGTGCTCAAGATAGGTAAGGAAACGGGGAAACACCTAACAAATATCTTTCATAGCAAAAAAGGGGGAATTAAAGGCCAAATGAGAAACGACTCGGAAAATCTATAGTGAAGCAAAAAATGGAAAAAAGCAAAAACAGATTGAAATAAAGCAAGAAATAATTTTGCGCCCTTTTCACCAATAAACGCAATAAGAAATGTATTTACTTACCGAAAATAACAGCATTGTTATTACATTGTATTTTCGACTGCTAACTCAGCGCGCCACAAATTTCGATTGTGTCGTGTTGCAACAAATCATCTTGCAGTAAAGTTTCATTGAAAAACTTTTATATTGCCATTTCTGTAGCAAAGCCTTGGGTTGAGCGCCCAAAATATTTAAACAATGTGTTCATGAATCTTATTATGACGGCCAAAAGATGAACCTTTTTACATAAGTACTTACACATTTCTACAAACAAAGCGGAAACCTGAAGCAACTGTTGCAAAGAAAATTGGGAGAGTGTTTTAGCAGAAAAGAGCGGTGGCGAAGCGCTGGTGACACGGTCACAGCTCAGAACCAGCCGGTGACTATGCTGTCTACTTGTTATTGTTGTTGGAGCGACTGTCGCGCTCGTGGATAATTGCGCATACCAACACAGCACACACACAGCTGGTTGCAACAGCAGGCAAGAGTGCGGCAACAAGCAACGTAGCAGACCACATCATAGTAGCAATAAGATTCATAAGCATAAGTCGATTGTGGTGTTATGTGCTCCACGCTGCTGTGACAACACAAAAAACAGGAGATATTTGCAAAATTTACAACTTAACTTGCAACTCGCCTGTCCGTTGAGCCATTTTGCTAGCTTGCCCAGCCACTGTGAGCAGCGCGCAAAAATCGTGCGCCCACCTCACGACCCCAAAAGCGCTGCACAAATGCCACATTAGCCGCTGAAGCTGCTGGCCACGTTGCACACCTCCATTTATCGCCAGGAGCCACAGGCTGTTATGACAATAATGATAATGATGTTGTAGCAACATAATACGGTGTTGTTAGTGTTGCTGATGTTGGTGTTACACCGCGCGCCTTACAGCTGATGCGGCATGATGTGCGCATCGTGCAACACGCCGACAGACAACCAGTCTGGCTGTCATAATTTCCGCCATGCCACATGTGACATAAGCCGTGCGCGCAGCCTCCGAGAGTGGGAGTGTGCAGAGAAGAGGCACAATGCAAATCAGGTTGACAGCAGGTCCATGGCTGCGCAGTCGCA